ACCAGAGCATGCAGAGAAAAAAAAGCTTTGCTGTCCCTCAGCGAGGTAGGCAAGCAAGCAGGGAAACCTTAGAACCGGCTATCCAAGGGGGTCCCTTTAAGCACAAGTCTCAGATAGCCTCAGGCAGCAGCCACACAAGGTAACTCCTGACCTGATGCCCTGCCAGAACTGGTTCCAGCCAGCCTTAAATACAATTCAGCGTCCTATCAGTGTGGACGCACTATTTCGAAACAGCAAAATGTTATTGTGGACGCGCTATTGTGGATGCGCTATTGTGGATGTGCTATTTCGAAATGCATTTTGTGTCTAGACGCGTTATTTCGAAATAAGATATTTCGAAATAGTGCTGTAGTATGGACATACCCTCAGGTGCCACAGGACTGCTCATTGTTTTTCCTATTAATACTGTTTTTAACTTGACCATTGCTTTCCCGTATGCCCAGATGAAGCCGGATTTTACTGATGCTTTCCCAGCATCCACAAATCAGATAAGCTATTTGCCCTAGTGCTTCTCTCCTATTGATGCTCCTAAATCAGGGCCAGATTTTTCACAAGGGCTCCGCATCCCTTTAGGATGATGCAGGCCCGCATGTAATATCCTGAGCTCTGCTGACAATGTAATCGCTTGTTTTGATACCGGAATGGACTTTTCGGAAAAATCCATCTCTGGCTGCAATTGCTGAGCCCCACAAAAGGTTCTGTCCCCTTGATCGTGAGGCTGGTGCAATTAAATTCCTCATTCTGGGCTGTCTCTTTGCTCTTCTCCCAACAAAACAGTGATCCCTAGTTGACTCTAATAAAAATTTCATTACTGAAAACAGGAAATGGGCTTTGCTTGTCCCTTGCTGGGCTGGGATGTTGTGTTTGCTCAAGGGCTGGGCGCTGATTACCTTTTTGATTTGTCCCTTCTTGATGGTCCTTTATCACTGTTCCCCCCCCCCTCCTCACGCACACACACGGCCTGCCTTAATTGCAGCATTGCAAAGCAATCCATAAATCAGATGGTTGGGAGTGAATTATAGCTGTAGGAGCAAGCGAATCATATTTTTCTCCCAAAGATCCCTCGATGCACATGCTTTTATTACACAGATATAGTTAAAGCAGTATGACACCCTTAGTTTGATTGGTATAAAGGTGCTTAACTGTATCCACACGAGAGGTAAAATATCTCTTTTCCTGGAGGAGTCCATTAACTCGTTAGTGCATATTAAATACAGCTGGATAGAGAGAGCGAGCCTGAGGCTATGTCTACACAATGGCTGTGTCTACATTGGTGCATTCTTGCGTGACAACGGCCGCTCTTGCACACAAACATGCCACCTGTCTACACTGGCCGCACGTTCTTGCGCAAGTAAACTGACGTTGTACTGTAGAAAATCAGGGCTTCTTGTGCAAGAACTCTGACGCTCCCTCTCAGGAAGAAGCCCTCATGCGCAAGAGCTCTTCCAGAAGAGGCCAGTGTAGACAGGCAACATGAATTTCTTGTGCAAGAAGCCCCTATGGTTAAAATGGCTATCAGAGCTTTCTTTTGGAAGAGAGCGGCTACACTACCATGGATGCTCTTGTGCAAAAGCACATCTCTTGCGCAAAAGCACATGGCAGTGTAGACGCTCTCTTGTGGAAGAGTTTTTGCACAAGAACGCTTCCGCAAAAGAGTTCTTGCACAAGAAGCTGCCAGTGTAGACGTAGCCTATGTGTTTTGTCGGAAGGGCTGATGCAAATGAAGTGCTGATTAGCATTTTCTCACGCTTCATTTGTATAATCTATTCCAATCCGTTTTTTCGCAGGAGGTTTTTGCGCAAAAACATGCAGTATGGACGTGTCCGTTTTGCACAAAAACCCTTTTTTGCACAAGATCCTTATGCCTCTCTGGGAGTTTTTGTGCAAAACAGACACGTCCACACGGCATGTTTTTGCTTAAAAACCTCTTGCGCAAAAACAGTTCTGAATAGATTATGCAAATGAAGCTTGAGAAAATGCTAATCAGTACTTCATTTGCATTGCCTCTTCCAACGAAACACATAGCGTAGACATAGCCTAAGGGTGGCCCTGGAAAACACTGCTTATGCCGTGATAAATATTTTCCAACTTGGGTGGCTGCACACAGGCTTCTCAATCCAGAGTTAGGTACTTAGAGAAAAAAGTTGGTGCCCCGCAGAGGAGAAAGCATTGAGATGCTTGAGTTAGTTCCTGTGACCAAAAGAGAAAGGGCTCTACCATTATAATCCCTACAGCTTTTCATCAGCAGATGTCAAAGCACTTTTCAAAGGAAATCAGGGTCATTATCCCATTTTAGCAATGGGGAAACTGAGGCACAGAGCCAGGCCTTGCCTTGAGTCATCCAGAAGGCCAGTGGTAGAGTGGGGACTAGAACGCAGCTCTCCTGAGTCCCTGTGCTCTATCAACTAGGCCAGTGGTTCTCAACCAGTGGTACAAGTACCCTTACGGGTACTCGAGAGAAGTCTGGGGGGAATGTCAACACTGTATTTAATATGCACTGAGTTAATTTGAAATTTGGAGAAAACTGAATTTTTGTTCTAAGTTTTACAGCACTTGATTATTTTTGTACTTGTTACACCCAACAATTTAATCCCCCGCCCAGCCGCAATTAGGTTGTTTAAACAAATGTGTTGCAATGGTAAAAAAAAAATTGTCTGAAAACTGTAGGTACTGGGGGTACTTATAATTTTTTTGTAAAAAAGGGGTACTTTATTTTAAAAAGGTTGAGAAACACTGCACTAGGCCATGCTGCAGGTTTATTCTGTCCACACTCAGAGCTGTACAGATTTAATCCTTGCAGTTTGAAGCTCATACCAAAACCGTTCAATTGGTACAAAAAACTGTAAAATTATGTCTGAAAACTGTAGGTACTGGGGGTACTTATAATTTTTTTGTAAAAAAGGGGTACTTTATTTTAAAAAGGTTGAGAAACACTGCACTAGGCCATGCTGCAGGTTTATTCTGTCCACACTCAGAGCTGTACAGATTTAATCCTTGCAGTTTGAAGCTCATACCAAAACCGTTCAATTGGTACAAAAAACTGTAAAATTA